TGTTGGGTTTCTGGAATCCTGTATATGCCTTTGTGAAGAATATTTTGTGATCATGGCTAGTTAGAGTCCTATATGCCTCACTTATCTGTGTGTCAAATTCTTCCCCCTGCTTGAGAATTTTTCAGCCATTACTTCTGTGAACAGTATTTTTTAATGTGATTTGCACTGTCTCCCATTTCTTCATTGACTCTGATCGATCAGTCTTATGTTATTCTTCTTTGTATCATCTAGCAGCTGCTGGCTTGGTTTTTCATGGTCCCTTACTATTTTTAAAGAAATTTTTCTTTTCCTGGTCACTAATTGCAATCTTGTCTTCCATATCTGATATTGTCTTTACACTGGCTCATTCTGCTGTGTAAACTTTAATTTCTAGGATATCTGTTTGCACTTGTATTATGGATTCCATTCATTTCCTATGCTGTGATTCCATCATGTTCCTCAGCTGGTCTATTTTTTATCTGTGTCTGCTCTAGATTTATAAGTCATGTCTTTCACTATGGACACAGTCTCTTGTTATCTGAGAAATTATTTCTGATTTCATTTTTTCCAGATCCTTTTTTTTTTGTCAGTTCAAGGAGTCCAGGTGGTTGAAAATCAGATTGTTTCATCTCATTTGCCTTTGGGATTTCCATAGGTGATCTAGAATTCTGGTTTTGAGATTTGTTTACGCGTCTTCTCATTGCAACAAATGCAGCCTACCATGCCTTTGTTGAGGTAATGTTTTGTTCACCCAGTGGTCTTCAATAGTCAGGAAGCCACTGAGCAGCCTTTTGCATGCTGCTCACCATTGTACCAATTCCTGGGTTCAGAATGGTGGCCTTCTGGAACCCTGAGCTGACTTGTTGTCTGGGAGGGCTTCTGGCTACAGTCTCTTCACATTTGGGATGGTACCTAGGTGTGTTTCTGGGTAGAGCCCCTATGTCGCTGTTATCTGGGAGGGCCTTCAATTGATATCTGTGCATCTCAATGCCAGATATCCAAGCAGCCTTCAGGCTAGGGTCTCCATGCCAGTATCTTAGAGCACTTATCAGTGTATCAAGGCAGGCCTCTGGATGATGCTTTTTTTGCCTGTGCAGCTCTTTTCTGTGTGGGCCTTTGTCTTGGGCCTGTACGCCCAAGCTGCTGGATTTGGGGCCCTGTCTGAATCTGACTACAGCCACCCTTCTCTGGTCCACATTACTGGTTGGCAGGATCTGGGCACACTTTTTTTTTTTTTTTTTTTTTTTTTTTTTTTTTTTTTTTGCTGCACAACCTGTGCTGGGCAACCTGTGCTCTGTTAGCAAATGTAACATTGATAGGAAAGTGTTAAGACAATTGTGAGACATCACATTCCAATTAGTATGGGAAATGGGTGCTACAAGTCTGTTAACATCATTGATTTTGTTACTAAATAAATGAGGACCTGGTGTATGAGTTCCAGAATAAATTTCTAAATTGAAAGCATAGTAAGTCTGCACATCTACAAAGACATAAATTTTTTTTCCTCATTGAGTTTATTGGTACATTTTAGGTATACAGTACAGTTACATTCATTATTAGGATCTTGTACCTTTACATGAGAGGTTGTGGTTCTCATTTTTTCCCCTTGTCCCTGACCTCCCTTCACCCCCTCCTCCCCTCCCCATTTACAAACACTTTATTTCCATTTTTTCATTTTCTCATATTTTTTTCTTTTCCCTTATTACCTTTCCCCTACCCTTCCCACTTTTCCTACACCTTTAGCCCTTTTCTTCCTATTTCACATTGTCAATTATCTCATTAGGATCTTATGTACTATTGTAGTTTATTCACACCAGAGAAACTATTCAGTATTTACACATGTGTGACATTCACATTGTATTATCTCATTAGGATCTTATGTACTATTGTAGTTTATTCACACCAGAGAAACTATTCAGTATTTACACATGTGTGACTTATTTATTTCACTTAAGGTTATAAATTTTTATGCCATATTTTGACCCATCACTTTTCCAAAAGTCTTATAAGTTCCTGTGATTACCAGGAGAAATCCCTGCTAAGTACAGCAGTTGTATGAATGCTTTCAGTTCAGCTAGAGAGGTGTCATTATAAATACATTTGTGAATATGGCTGTTGTTTCATTCAGAATGTTTGAATTGTATTTCTGCCTTTGTGTATTTCACAACAATTTGTAGTATTTCATCTGTTACAATTTCCAACATTGAATGGTAATGCTGGCATTCTGTCCAATAGATTTCACCCTTACTAAGATCCTCACTACATTTTTGGTCATTCCATTTGGTTGCGTGACCATTTTGCAACATTTCAAGTAGTCAGATATGCACTCACATTGCTGTTCCCTGTGTCTGTATTAGTCGATTCTCGCTACATTTCACTGTCATAGGAACTTTGGCTAAGGTGGCCAACGTAAAAGTCATTATCATCTTCATCATCCATGCTTGAGTAATCTGATGATTCACTTTTGACTTTTAAAATCACAAATCTGATTTTTCATGTGCTATTTTACTGAATTGGGCTACTTCTACCAGATAAATGAAAAAGAAATTTTTTTAAAAAAATCTTAAATGCATAGAAATTTAGTACTTCTTGGGTAAAACTCACATTTTGCTGCTTTGTATCTCCTGTACACACCTTACCATATTTCTGTCACATAAGTGAATTCAAGGATGAGCTTTTGCTTTTCCCAGGTGCAGCTACTGTGAGTCACACCCGCATTCCATTATGATAAAATACATGTTTTCATAACAGGAGAGTGGTGTGGGTGTATTTTATCCCCTGTGATTCTCAGGTAAAGACCCATTAGCCAGAGCATTGTGTGGGTTAAAGACTAAGTTTGACACTTTTGCACACATACACACATCACACCAAGTGGCTAAACACAAAGATTGCTTTCTGTATCCCCTAGATGCAGCTACTGAGATGCACAGCGTGCTACACTTATGCTAAAGTACACATTTATATTAGAGAAGTTTGGGATGGGTTGTTGTAATACAATGCTATGCCTGTAGTTAACATGAATTTTTTTTTCAGTGCCAGGTATCAAACCCAGTGTTTTGAGTATGCCAAGTATGCAGTGCACTACAAACATACATCTCCAGCCCTAAAATATTTTTTGTTACTTATTCATATGTTAAGTTAAGGCCTGGGGATTTAGCTCAGTGGTTCCAGCACCTGCTTTTCAAGCTCAGAGACCCTAGTTCTATTCCTGGTACAAAAAACAAAAAACAAGTTTCAATATGTTAAGTCAAAATTGGTCATCTTCAGGAAATATCATAAAATGTTGTAGTTTCTTAATGGGACATGTTTATTCTAACAGTAACATATTTGTTTAAGAAGAATAAAATAGCTTCACCAAAATATAATTTCTCATTTGTTACGTTGCTCAGATAAAACAGTAGGATTGATGAAGTAAATGATCACTCTGCCATGGGACCATAAATATGTGTACCCCAGGAAAGAACCAAAAAACTTCTAAAGAACCTAGTTGAACAACCAGTTGTCTTACTCCTTCTATGGTCACTCTTATATTTTAATCAAATAAATACTAAATTCTTTTACCCCATAATAATTATATTTAATTCAAATCATTTTGTAGATTGAGAGTTTTATTGCTCCCCTCTCAAAAGGGTAGCAAATTGTATATCAGTGAAAGTAGTTTTTCATATGCCACTCTATTTCTCTTAATCATACATTTAGGTGACAATTTTCATTATACCTTAATAGATAGTACAATTTCTTTTTGTGGCAATTGGTCCTCTACTCCTGAATGAAGTACATAATGTCTGGTAAATACTACAAGAATCTACCATAAACGGATGTGATTTCTGTTTTCCTAGAACCCCTTGAGAAAGAGTTACAAAACCCTTTGTTCAGTTTGTTTTAAAAGTCTGGACCATGACTCTTTCTTAACTCTGCTGTTTCAACATTGGTTTTCTCTGGGTATGTCTGTAAATCTTGTGTCCTCTTATCCAGTTCTTTCTATACTTCTAAATGTTCCTTCAGTTAACTCTAATTCAGCACTTTAAGCAAAATCTTAGAAATGCCACCAAGGTATGATACATAAATAAACAGATCCTTGGAGATTTAGAAGTGATATAGTTGGGCAGACAAATGCATATTTAATATTTTAGACCTTGAAACATTCTCAAAAAATAGAGATTGCAGAAAACTATCACTGAATTTGTTTATATGTTTGTTTGTTTGTTTGTTTATTTATTTATTTATTTTGAGACAGGGTCTCACTATGTAGTTGAGACTGACCTGGAACTCACTATGTAGCCCAGTCTGGTCTAGAACTCACAGCGATCCTTCTCTCTCCGCCTCCTGAGTGGTGGGATTAAAGGTGTGCACCACCATGCCCAGTTTACTAGAATTGAATTTAAAAAATAAATTTTTTTTCGACTAAATTTCATTGCTTTAGAATATCTAAATTTACCCATAAGACTGATAATAAAATTAATGAAAACAAATTTTAAAAAGATAACAGAAAAATGTTTGTTGACCCTATTTATTTATTTATTTATTTTTGCCATTGGTGCTACCCCTCTCCTTGACACATCCTAACATTCTGCCCCTACCTACTCCTATCCTGTCACCAGAATTTTTTATTTATCTAGTTTATCTAGTTTTTAAAAGCAGTTCATTTCATTTTTTGTCATTGGGTTTATTGGTACATTTTAGGTATACAGTACAGTTACATTCATTATTGAGATCTTGTACCTTTACATGACAGGTTTTAAAATCAGTTTAAATGTGTGCCTCTGACTAAAAAGCAATAAGCGAGCATGGTGGTGCATGCCTGTAATCCCAGCACTCTGGAGGCTGAGACAGGAGGATCCCGGTGAGTTTGAGAACAGCCTGAGCTACATAGTGAGTTCCAGGTCAGTCTCAACTACAAAATGAGACCCTGTCTCAACCCCCTCCCAATAAATAAATAAATAAAAATAAAGCAATGAGCAAAACCAAACTAGGACTATTTATTTTTGCCTTAACATTTTTCTCTTTCCTATATCTTGTAGGGCCCTCCTGGCCCACCAGGATTGCCAGGACCAAAGGTAATTTTCTTTTTCTTTGTGTCTTTTAGTCAGTGTAGATTCTTTTACATATTGTCAATGAGATTTTAAACTGAAACCTTTCTCTTCAGGGGAATATGGGCTTAAATTTCCAGGGACCTAAGGGTGAAAAGGTGAGTAAAGTGTTGGTTGTTCAACCCTTCGATTTCTCCTTTCATATTCATTTATATTCATTTATACCATCTTTTTCCTTCCTTTTTGCTTCTTGCAATCAACACAGCTTACATGTTACATTATTGTCTATAGTAGATTATGAAATATCACTGTCTTAATTTATCCTAACAATAGGGTGAGCAAGGTCTTCAGGGACCGCCTGGACCACCGGGGCAGATCAGTGAGCAGAAAAGACCAATCGATGTAGAGTTTCAAAAAGGAGATCAGGTGAGTAGACAGAGAGGAAATTAGTTAAATTTTTGTTCTGAATAGGCTAATTAGTTTAACAGTGTTAATCATTTCACAGTGTCAGCAGAACCACTGAGTTAAATCCCTGGCCAAGGGATATCACCTGTATATCATACAAGTATCAGACATTATTATACATTTTATATGTTCATAGGATACTGAAATCATTACTATGACCTAATTTTAGGATATTCTCATCAGCCCTCTCCAAAAATTACATACCTCTTAGTTGTCTCTCTCTATTTCTCCTCAAACTCTCCGATCCTATGCAATTACTCTCTATTTCTTGGCTCTGTAGATTTGTCTATTCTGTATGTTTTATAAAAATAAAAGCATATAATGTGTGGCCTTTATCCATCTGGCTATTTTCACTTGGCATGTTTTTAGGTTCTACCATTTCATAACATGTATCAGTATTTCATTTCCCTGAGTGCATTGTGTCGCTAGTGTATATTTTGTTTACCCATTCATTTGATGGCATTTGGGTTGTTTTGATTTTGGACTATTTGAATAATATATTCTTGTGTAAAATTAGGTCATAGTAATTTAGATCAGTGTTTGTCCATTTTTATTTCACTTAAAGAAAAATTGTATGAAATTCTACCATCAGTGCAGATCAAATCATTTCATTCTTTGCCTAAATGTATGTGTGTTATGGGAGCACCCAAATCTCCTAGCTTTAAGTACTTTTGCTTTTTATAAAACGTTTTGTAAGAATCAATAGTATTGTCCTTTAAAGTGTTGTCTTGTTATTTGTCTGAAAGCTTGGCTGCTATACAACATACTAGAAATTAAGTGAAGCAAGCAGAGATGGCACTAAATTCTTTTGCCTAGCATTTTTCAATTTCAAGTTAGGAAGATTTTGTCATTTTTGGTTATACTGTATGAATCTACAGTTAAGTTGTTAAAAGTGCTGCTAGCTAGTTCTAGTTGTTAAAGTGATAATTCTTGTTCTTGTATTAACATTGTTTTTCTTTTCCTTATAACTATATAGGGAATTCCTGGTGACCGAGGGCCTCCTGGACCTCCAGGGATACGTGGTCCTCCAGTAAGTAACCTAAAACACTTTAGCATTATTTCATGTAAATTCATATTGAGAGACAGTATCCAATGGACCAATATGAAATTACTTTTTGAATATACAGGGTCCTCCATGTGGTGGGAAAGGTGAGAAGGGTGAGCAAGGAGAACCAGGCAAAAGAGTAAGTCTTATGAAATACTAAACTTTGTACAAAAAATCCTAAATATGTCCATATGTGTAAGTTTTATTCTTCTTAAATCTTGCTTTCATTGACTGAAACTATCCTTACTTATATGTCTATTTTTTGTAATACTGAAGTCTAGAATACTTATTTAATATAGTCCAGGGCAGGAATAAAACTTACTATATTCTTTAATCTTATGCATCCTAACTAATGAATTTTATGTCCTTCTTCCCTTATTTCTTTGTGTTCTCTAGGGCAAACCAGGCAAAGATGGAGAGAATGGTCAACCAGGCATTCCAGTGAGTAGCTGGGGTTCTTTCTCTTCACTAAAGCTGGCAGTAGCTGTAGATATGGAATAAAAAACAGGATGACAAAAAGTTTTAAATTTGGAAGTAGCCTAAATGAATGAAAATTATTATTTTTTTATCTTTTGAATATACATTTGAGATAATTCTATTTTAAAGTCAGATTTATTCACATTTTACTTATTCATTTTTATTATACAGTTCTACGTTTTGATAAATGTCCAGTTATGTAATCGCGCCCATAATCATGAACAGTTTCATCATTCTCAAAATTCTCTTCTGTTTTTTGGTAATAATTTTCTCTCCTAATACCCCACTTACAGCAACAACTGATCTGATCTCCATCCCTATAGTTTTACCCACCGTAGAAAGTTGTAAAAGTAGGAGCATACTACATGTAGCCTTTTAAGTCGTAATTTCTTCATGTAGCATAATACTTTGTTCTGTGTATAAATAGTTCATTCCCTTTTATTACTGAGTAGTGTTTGGATGTACCTACGTTTATTTTTCATTTACTCATTGAAGGATATTTTGTTTGTTTCTGAGTTTGGGTACTTATAAATAAAACTGTAACATTCATATGCAGTTTTTTCATGTGTGAACATAATTTTTAATAGGCATTTTTAAAAGTTTTCAAGGACAGATACAAAATTTGAAGAACTTTGAAGACCATTCCAAAGCAGAGATTTCTTAACAAGAGAGAAAGTTAGAAACATTGAAATGAGATAAATTTCAAGATGATTTGAGCTAAACAGGCAATCCTCAACTTACAAAATATGGTTAAGAATATAAAACGGCAAGAGGAAAATTCAGAATTTTAGTCCCAGGCTTCTTTTCGAACAACTGGTCTTTGTTTTGTGATTAAAGCAGCCATGATATTCAGTTATTGCCTCTGTTTTAACACTCTCCAGGGGCATGAAGAGAGGCTGCTCTCTGTTTGAACTGGGAGAGTCAAGTCAGGTCAAATAATGATAGCTTTGCAAGTTGGTTCTTCTTGCCAGTGGCCAGATAGTTCAAATAATGAGATTTCTGGAAGAATGAAGGTTGAAAGGAGCTCCAGTCCTGCTGTTTCTCATAACAGTTGCTGCTAGCCTGCTAGCTTCTACCTTCATTGTGAGTTATTTGTTGTCTAGGGTACTGCAGAACCAAGGGGACAGTTATGGAAATAGAGCAAGTGAAAATACCACAGAGGTCTGTGTTCCCACAATTTAATCTTTAAAAACCAAAACAAATAAAATGCTCCTAAGATTTCTGCGAACATTAATTTCTAAAATTGTAAAAAAAATAAAGCTGATTTGGATAGACTATTTGTGCCAGTGTGCCCATTGTTTCTGTTATGGGAGAAAGGATTTTTGAAAGTCCTTACTCTGTCACTTCTGCTGATACCATCCTATCCTCTATGTCTTAAAGGGTTTACCTGGCGATCCTGGTTACCCTGGTGAACCAGGAAGGGTTGGTGAAAAGGTAAGTATTTTAATACTTTGAGTGCCTAGTTTTGTTCTATTTAGTATCTTTTTTTCTCCCAAGGTAGAATTATAAATGAAAAATCTTATAAATAAATACCTTTGTACTTGAAACATGTTTTCTTTATCTTTTGGTGTTGCTTCTTTTCCTTTTATACTGCACTCCTTAAATTTTCTTCCATTAGCCTAAATCACAGTTCATACAATGGAAGTACATGAAAGATGGTTTAACTCTTCCATTTCCTTTGTGAAATCATTTCCTCTCTTTGCCCATGTGTTGGTAAGACTTGTTTTTCAGAAAGAGGATTCATCACTATGTTAATGGGGTCCTCTTCATAAAGAGGTTTGTAACTGTGAATTCAGGACATGTCTTCTAAACATTTATATTCTGTGTGCAATAACTGTCTATAAGTCTGTGGATAATTGTCATGGATTTCATTGGACCAGTGCAGACTAAGATTCATTTAGTTATTCATTTTAAAAGTGATTTTGAAAAAATGTGTGAAACACACAGTTATCTCATTTTTAGCAGGTCAGAAAATATCCAGTCCTTCAAGCCCTCTGGTCTCTTAATTGCTTTGTATCAAAACCAAAATGAAAAGCTTTATTTTTCAAACAAGAAGGAAAGGTATTACAAACTTGAATGTACCCAGAGAGCACATATTTTCATTGTGGTTTATTAATAAACTAGATCCAAGTTTTCATTTGACCTAAAAGGCCTAACTAGAATAAAGGGAGACATTGAATTTCTTTTTAAATAGTAAATATATTATAAGGCAGAGAAATTCTTTAAAAAGAGTTGGTATATAGATGCAAAGTTTCTATGAGCAAATCTAGAACCAGAATAAAAGTGTGAGAAAAACATCTGTACTTGTGTCTTGACAAGTAACAATTGAATAATGTGTTCTTCATGCTGTTGACTTTGTTTTTTGTTAACTTCTAATAACAAACTCATGGAATCAATCGCAATTTATTAGGTGTTCATAGTGATAGTTAAGCCCATAAGCTCTAAAATATCTATCACCAATAGAGATAGTATTAGACTCATGCTCTTAACTAATTTTGAGAAAGAAAAAGGATAAATGTAAAAAGCATAATGATTTCAACTGATTCTAATCATACTGTTTATTTATATAATATTTATAGAAAAATCCTAACGTCAAAGAATGTGACAGCTTTAAGTCTGGTACAAAACATTTGTTCTTTGTATATATACCAGTGAGCTTAATTGATTTGGTCAAGATTATATAGCTACTAAATAATATCACAAGTCTTCCTAGGTCTAGCCCAGTATTTTTTCATCACCCCGTGTTTAGTTCTCACTTGGTGTATTTCATTACTGATTTCTAAGTCTTTTTATAAAACTTGTCTCATGTTCTTGATGAGATTGATGTTTTCATGTGATTTTTTTACTAACATTTTACAATTGTATTGAATAGGGCCAAAAAGGTGACATTGGTCCACCTGGGCCTCCTGGACTTGTAAGTTTCTTTTATTTTTCTTTTCTTTTCATTTCTTTTCTTTACTTTTCTTTTCTTTACTTTCTCTCTCTTTTTCTTTCTTTCTTCCTCTCTCTCATCTTTCTCTTTTTTTCATGTATCAAATTGAATGTTGCATTATCATTCTTATGCTTCAATTATGTACTGCCTACTTTTTTCTCAAAGAAAAGTCTAAGTCCTTACCAATTTTTACTGGTTAGAAGTCTTTACATTCAAAAATTTCATTAGTTTTGACCTCATGGTCTTCGTACTGTTCTGTCTGCTTATTACTTCTCCACAGTAAAGATCCAAAACAATGGCACTGGATTGTTTTGCAAAGTGATTGCCCGTTATTTCTCAAACCACCAGCAGGTGGGGCAAGTGTTGCTTACAAAGGTTTAATTGCAACAAAGCAAAACAAAACAAAACAAAACTCAGCGCAGGGGTCCTTTCCCCCTGCAGAACACAGGGGATAGAAGTGGATAGAATTGGTCTTAATAGGTTTTCTCAATTTGTAATTATCTGAATCACACTTCTTTCTTGAGTGTGTGCTTTTTAGGGACTAAAAAATAAATGTAGGCAGCTGCTTTTTGATAGAATAATTGAGGGATTTATTAAATTTTCTGTCATGTTTTCATTCACCATGAAATTTAATTAAATATATTGCCAATATTATTAAAAGTAAAATGTTATTGCTGAAGTCTGATATTTTTTTTCCTTCTGTTTAAATTTGGCAAGATTTTAGAACTTAGACTGCATTGAAGCCACATAAATGTGGTGCCATAAAAACTTATTCTCTATGTCCAGACATTTTAGTAACATTAATTTTTTGTCCATAGAAAATTTCAGCTATTAACACTTAGAACTGTACTGAATCTAATGAGGATATATGTAAGGTGTTAGACAATTTTTATTCTCTTTCATTTTAAAATCAGGCTTTCAGTTCTCTAGAAAATAATCTCTAGAAAATGGGATAATAAAATTTTGACAAATATCAGGAGAAATGGATATTTTCAGAATGAAGTCCTATCTGGAAGCTCGTATTCCCTTTTGAACTACTATCTCAATTCTGGATTTTACAATTTTATTCTCCTTATGTGTTAATGTTTCTATATCCACTAGAAGTAAGATGAAATATCACACTTTGCTAGTAGATGTTGATTTTTACCTCAGTCTGAGAATTTTTTAAATTTGAAGTTTATTTACTTTTATAGGTCTATGATATTAATTTTAAAGTTTATTTCATATGACATTTTTTATGATAAACTTAAATCTTGAATTCTAACAAGACATAGGAAAAGGATATGATGAATTGGTTAGTTTTAAATAATATAAACTTCCCCCAAAAGATACATTTTTAAAAGAAAAAACATGTGAGCTGACATAGCAGAAAGTTGAGGGAGGCCATTTTAGATATTTGGACTGGCAAATGCAAAGGTACAGATAGGCACGTGCAAATTACATGAAGTGATTCTAGTAGATGGAAAAATTTATTACTAGAAATACAAGGAATTATGGTGAGAGGTATTGGAAGTGAGAAATGACTTGACAATGTCCAGCATTATATGAAGCATTATATACAGTAAGAACTAGTAATCAATTTGCGGTGCTTATGCAAGGTATTTAACACAGAAAAATTGGGTTCTTCAGGCATCATCTCCTAGCAGCAAATTTGGACTCAAAGGAACAAGCTTAAAAGTGTATCTGTTAGTCCAAGTGAGTTTAGAATAGTCGTTATGGCAAGAGGAATGAATAGGAAAAATTAGAGAGAAATTTTTGGTAAAGAATTCTCAAGGCTTTTGATTATTAGAAGGAATTGAATGTGACTTATAAGAAGAGACAACAAAATATATTTCTACAGGAACTAGATGGAAGCCATAGCTGCAGAAAATTTGAGTGTCCTAAATGCTATTAAATTGTTAATTTTGTTATGCAAATTTTAATAAAAAAGGGAAAACAAACAAACAAAAAAAAACGTATTTCTATCTTTGTAAGCCCGAGGATAAGGAAGGCGATAATAGTGTTACTGACGCTAGTTATTTCCTAAATTATTTGGAGGATGAATGTGATAAGGAATATAACTCCATCTATGTCATAGTCCTAATGATTTTACAACTGAATACTTTTTGAAAATAGGGCATTATGTCCATATGTAGCCCCCAAATGACTTTCAGGAGAAGAGTCTTTCTAATTAAGTTTTTGTATTTTTTCATTCATAATAAAGGTAATTCCTAGACCTGGGACTGGTGTCACTATAGGAGAAAAAGGAAACATTGGATTACCTGGCTTACCTGGAGAAAAAGGAGATCGAGGATTTCCTGGAATGCAGGGTCCACCTGGCCTTCCTGGTCTTCCAGGTAAAAGAGACTGCACTTTCATTGTGCTTAGAGTATCAATACTAATCCACGAATATCATACTAGTTCTAGGATAAGAATGACAGTAGAAGACACAAGTCATTTTTAATTGTTAGATTCTTCCCAGCTCATACTGTATCTTTTCTTAGCAGATTCCTCAATTGTATGTTTTTAAAAATCCTGTTTAGAGGGCCAGAGATTTACCTCAGTGGTACCACAACTGCCTGCAAGCACAAGGTCCTGAGTTCAATCCCCCGTGCAGCAAAAAACAAAACAAAACAAAACCCAAAGCAAAAAAATCCCATTTACATATTGCCACTTTATCCTAAGAATCTCATTTCTACTTTTTATTATTAATAAACTATACCAAACAATTGTGTGAAAAATTTCCTTTCATGCTATTAGGGAAGGGGATGCTAATGCTGGCTTTTGCAAGATTTCCTCTTTGAAAAAACAGTAAGGAGCAGTGTACACTTAGAATTCTAGAAACAGCTAACTAGAAGTCTCCATGGTGATTTTGCTGTTCAGTAACATAACTCAATGCAGAATTTTATATCATCCTCTCTGCGGATGAACAGAATAGTATAGCATTTCTAATCTGACTACAAATTGAGGACTGCCTTTGTCTTGCTTTTTTTTTTAGCTGAATTCTCTTTGAAAAGGGTTTTATTTGGAATTTATGTAAAACTTAACAGCCTGTGGTACAGCTGCTTGCTCCTTACTCAATGTATTATGGTTCCTTTCTCTTCAAAATTATGTGGTGAATAAAAGGGTAGCATGATAATATGAGTGACACTCTGTTATCCTTCTAAGAAAAGACAATGAATGCGTGTTCCTTCATGATCTAAATATGCATTTTGTATTTCTAATATCAAAATGGTAGACTAGATATATACTGCAACATTGAAATAAGTAATTCTTCCAGAATACCATAAAGGAGTTAAGTATTCGAGAAGTAGGAAAGAAAAATTGAGATGTAAAGGTAAACATAGAATCTCCTAAATGCATCATGAGTGAGATCAAGGAGGAATAAATGAGATGGGAAGCAATATTTGAAAATAAATAATGGCTGAGAAAAGACCAAGCACCAATTTAAAGACAATAAGATAAAATATGTATATACAATGCATAATAAATATATCCAAAAAAATAAAGAGAAAGTTGAAAATAAAATGATGTAAAGATGTGTTAGACTAGTGAGATAAAAAAGAAAGCTAGCTTAGCAATACTACTATGGAATGAAATAGAATTTACTGCAAGATACATTAAAGAGACAAATATTTTGTATAGATAAATAGTTAAATTATACCACAGTGATATAAATGTCATGAAGTTCTATGCATCTAACAAATACTTTTGAATACATAAAGTGAAAATGGATAAACTATGAGGGGCAAGTTGCCAAATACATTTTAAGTAGGTGAAAAATGACACAAAGAAGTCAAGCAATAAAATCAAGTCATCTGTATGGGAGACAGAAACTTTGTTGCTACTAGAATGTATGCATTCTTCTCTAATATATAAAATATTTACAAAAATTGACACAGTTGCACTACAAAACATATACTACATGTTACTTTCTATGACTAGAGTGAAATAAATTGATCATATAACAACAAAAAAGCCAAACATTTTACATTTGTATGTTTAAGAATCACAACTATAGAGATAACAAGGAAACAGAAATGGTAATGACAATCTATTGCATACTAAATACTTTGTATAAAAATTTACTGAATACAGACAAAGCAGTATCATTAATTTATCACAAAAATAAAAGAGAAACTGGAGATGTAGCTAAATGGTAGGTTGCTTACTTAGTGTGCACAAGGCCTTAAATTCTACCCCAGCAACACAAGTAAATAAGCTAAGTTTAACACACACACGCAAATACACTGACACAAACCCCAAAAAAGTATAAAAGAAAAGTTGGTAAGGACATAAACTTAAAAGCAAATTAAAATAATTAATGTTTAATAGAGAAAATAAAGATGCTGTTATGATTTTGAAATGAATAAAATTTGGTAAATCTAATCAAGATAAAAAAGAGAGAACGTGTAGTAAGGTGGTATGTTCCTGTAATCCCAGCTACTTGGGAAACTGAGGCAGGAAGATCTCAAGTTTGGAGCCAAACTGGGCTGCTCAACAAGAAATTGTCTCTGAAGCCCATGTGAACAAAAGCACCACAAATGCCCCGGCCCCAACCAGGGCCCCACTTAGACACCAGTGGCTTAGATACACAGACCCCAGCCAAAGGACCACCTGGAAAACAGTTGCACAGGCTCACAGGCCCCAGCCAGATGCCACACAGGATACCATCAATAAGTACATGCAGATTTCAGCAGAAACCCACATGAACTATAGCTTCACAGGTGTCCAGATCCTAGGCAGGGACCTGCCCAGATACAGTGGCTTGGGCACACAGGCCCCAGCCAAATAACTGCCTGAAAGAGAGCTACACAGGCACACAGGCCCCAGCCAGATGCCATGCAAGATACCATTAGTAAGTACATGCAGATTTCAGCCAGAAGCCCGGGTGGACAACAGCTTCACAAGTGCCCGGATCCTAGTCAGGGCTCTGCCCAGAATCCAGGGGCTTCAACACACAGCCCCCAGTCAAAGGCCCTCCCAGATAACAGCTATGCAGATGGGCAGGCCACAACCAGAGGCATGACAAGATACCATCCTAAGTGTGCCCAGGCCTCAGCCAGAACCCTGCCTGGACAACAGGGCAGCACAGGGATCCAGAAGGCCACCATTTTGAACACAGGAATGGGTGCACTGATGAGCAGCAGATAAAAGGCTGCTCAGTGGCTTGCTGAGAATTGAAGCCCACTGAGAGAGCAAAGAGTCACCTAAACAAAGGCACAGCAGGCTGCATCTGTGGAAATGAGAAGACAAATAAAAAATCTTAAAACTAGACTTCCAGATCACCTAAGGCAACCTCAAGGGGAAATGAGATGGAACAATCTGATACTCAATCACCTGGACTCCCTGAACTGACAGAAAAAAGAGGATCTGGAAAAAATGAAATCAGAAATAATTTCTCAGATAGCAATAGATATTGTGTCGATAGTAAAAGACATGATTTGTAAATCTAGAGCAGACACAGATAAAAAGTAGGCCAGTTGAGGAACATGATGGAATCACAGCATAGGAAATGAATAGAATCCATAACACAAGTGTAAACAGATAACCCAGAAATTAAAGTTTACACAGCAGAATGAGCCAGTGTAAAGACAATATCAGATATGGAAGACAAGATTGCAATTAGTGAGCAGGAAAAGAAAAATTTCTTTAAAAATAGTAAGGCACCATGAAAAACCAAGCCAGCAGCTGCTAGATGATACAAAGAAGAATAACATAAGACTGATCGATCAGAGTCAATGAAGAAATGGGAGACAGTGCAAATCACATTAAAAAATACTGTTCACAGAAGTAATGGCTGAAAAATTCCCAAGCAGGGGGAAGAATTTGACACACAGATAAGTGAGGCATATAGGACTCTAGCCATGATCACAAAAAATTCTTCACAAAGGCATATACAGGATTCCAGAAACCCAACAGAAGAACAAAATTCTACAACCAGTTAGAGAAAAGAAATAAATCACATATAATGGAAAGCCCATCAGAATCACAGTAGACTTCCCAACACAAACGCTCAAGTCAAGAAGAGACTGGAGTGAAGTATTTCAAACCCTAAAGGATAACATCCTCCAACCCAGATTAATGTACACTGCAAAACTTATCTTTCAAAATTGATGGAGAAATAAAATACTTTCATGAAGCAAAACACCCAAGGAACTTCATGAATACCAAACCAGCACTTCAAAATATGTTAAACAATATCCTGGAAAAGGACAATAAGCATTACAATTGGAAGAAGCTTGGCTGAATGAATCCATCAGGCATGACAAGAAATTAAACCCAAAGGAGAGATCGTAGCAACAGGAAAACATGATGACAAGTATAATATAATACATATCAGTCGTAACCATCAATGTTAATGGTCTCAATTTACCAACCAAAAGGAATAGAGTGGCAGAATGGGTCAAGAAGCAAGATCCAACAGTATGTTGCATAAAAGAAACTTAATTAAAAAAGAAATACATCATCTGAAAGTTACATGGTGAAAACAATACTCCATGTGACAGGAACCCCATAAAAAGCAGAAATAGCTATCCTATTTGCAGATCTAATGGATTTCAAACCAACACTAATTAAGAGAGGCAAAGATCTAATGGATTTCAAACCAACACTAATTAAGAGAGGCAAAGAAGGACACTACATCCTTGTAAGGAGTAAAATCCAAAAGGAAGAGATGACAATCATAAATATATGTGCCCAACTATGTAAAACAAATACAACCAGACATGAGAAATCAATGAAGCACTAATGCCACAGTAGTGGAGTAATTCAGTACCCCAGTATCACAAGTGGATAGATCAACCCGATAAAAAATAAATATCAAAATACTAGAATTCAACTAAACTCTTAAATAAATGGACTTAATAGATGTTTACAGATGTTCCACAAAATAAGACTGCACATTCTTTTTGGCTGCATATGGATTGTTCTCCAAAGAAGATCACATACTCACTCATAGAACGTGTTTAAGTAAGTGCGAGGAATTGAAGTTATCCCCTGTATATTAACAGACCATAGTGTGATGAAAGTGGAGATCAACAGCAAAAGAAACCACAAGAATTTCATAAACACATGGAAAATGAACAACATACTCCTGAACAACCAATGGGTAACACAAGAAATGACCGTTAGTTTCTACAATTAAATGACAATGCCAGTACAACATATGGAAAACAGTAAAAGCATTCTTATGAGGGAAATTAATGGCAATGAATACTCACATTAGGAAAACAGAGTGAGCTTAAATAAACCTAATGATGAATCTCATGCTTCCAGAAAAAGAAGAGCAGGACAAACTGAAAGCACATACAAAAGAGGAATGTATAAAGATCAGAGGAGAAATGAATGCAATCAAGACTAAGACAAAAATATTTTAAAAAATCAATCAAGCAAAGAGTTGGTTCTTTGAAAAAATAAATAAGATTGACAAGCCTGTAGCCAACCTCATCAAAAAAGTAAACAAAAGACCCAATCTATGCAATTAGTAATCAAAAGGGTAAAATTACAATGGAACCAGTAGAAATCCAGGGGATCATCAATACCTACTTTGAGACCCTATATGCCAACATGGAAAGAAGAAATGGGCGGATTTCTAGATACATATGAATTACCAAAGTTGATCAAAGAAGACCTAGCAATGCTACACAACCCTATCATTGAAATTGAAAATATAATTAAAAACTTACACTGAAGAAAAGCCAGGGTCTTGATGGCTTTACTGCTCAGTTCTACAAGACATTTAGAAAAGAACTATTGCCACTACTGTTTAAACTATTCAATAAAATTGAAAGTGAAGCAATACTCCTAAATTTATTCCTGGAAGCAAGGATCACCTTGATCCCAAAACAGAGAAAGACCCAATAAAAAGAGAGAACTATAAGCCAATTAGCCCATTTAACATAGATGCAAAATCCTCAATGAGATACTGGCAAAGAGAGTGCAGATCATCAACAAGATCAGACACTCTGATCAAGTGGGATTCATCCCAGAGATGCAGGGATAGTTCAACATACAGAAATCAATAAGTGCAATACACTATATTAATGGAGCCTAGGACAAAGACCATATGATCATCTTAATAGATGCAGAAAAAGCATTTGACAGCGTCCAACATTCATTCTGTAGGTTAAAAAGCCTACAGAAAATTGGAATAAAAGTCAGTTATGAAAAATGAACAGCCAACGTCATACTAAATGGTAAAAATTGAAATCCTTCACACTAAAGTCAGGAACAAGACAAGGATGGCCACTATCATCACTTATGTTTAATATAGTTTGAAATATTAGCCATAGCAATTATACAAGAGAAAGGAATAAAAATAAGAAACAAAGAGGTTAAATTGTCATTATTTGCAGATGACATGATACTTTGTATAGAAGAACCCACAACTCCACCCAAAGTCTTCTAGATTTAAAAACCAAATTCAGTAGAGTAGGTGGATACAAAGTCAACACACAAAAATCAATAACATTCCTGTACATGAACAAAAAACTAACAGAGAAACTAGAGAAACAATTCCTTTCACAATAGCTTCCAAAAAATCAAAGTACCTAGGAATTATCCTAACAAAAGAAATCAAAGACCTCTATTTTGAAAACTACACAACTCTGATGAAGGAGATCAAAGATGGTATCAGAAAATGGTAAGGTACTCCTTGCTCCTGAGTAGAAAGAACCAACATATTGAAAATGAGTATACTTCCAAAATTGCTATATAGATTCAATGAAATCCCAATCTCAATTCCAATGGCATACTTCACAGATCTTGAGAAAACAGTTCAAAAGTTCTTTGAAAGAAGAGACCTAGAATAGCAAAAGCAATTCTAGGCAACAAAGACAAGGTTTGGGGAATCAGAATCCCCAATTTAAAACTCTGCTATGACACTACTGTGATAAAAACACCATGGTACTGGCAAAGAAACAGACCTGAGGAACAATGGAACAGATTAGATGTGTAAGCAACACCAGTCACACTCAGCCATGTCATCTTTGGCAAAGGAGCTAAACACCCTCATCAGAGGAAAGATAGCCTCTTTTAAAAAAGGGGAAAAAATGAGAATCAAGACTTGTCATGTAGAGGTACAAGATCCCAACAATGAATGTAACTGTACTGTATCCCTAAAATGTACCAATAAACTCAATTAAAGCTGAAAAAAATGGTGCTAGAAAAACTGGGTTTCATCTTGCCAAAGATTAATAAAATTCTACCTGTATCCCTCACCATGCACTAAACTAAAATCTAAATGGATTAACGATCTAAATATTAAAACAGAAATACTGAACTTATTGGAAGAGAGATTAGGTAGAATGTTTGAAGACATTGGTGTAGGAAAAGATGTTATGAACCAAACCTCAGTCACAGGTGAACTAACACAAAGAATGATCGAATGGTATCTCATCTCATTAAAAAGCTTCTGACAGCAAGTGAAACCACCAACAGCATGAAGAGACAACCCACAATGTGGAAAAACATTTTTTACCAGCTGTTCCTCAGAAAAAGGCCTACCCTATAGAATATATAAGGAACTTTAAAAAAATTAGACCTCTCAAGTTTAAAAACCCAATCCAAAAATGGGCATCTGAAATGATCAGACATTTCTCAGACAAAGAAGTAGAAATAGCAAATAAACATAGGAAATAATGTTTAAAATAACTAGTCATTCGAGATTGCAAATGAAAACAATGCTGAGATTCCACCTCAACCCAGAAAGAATGGGTTCTATCACAGAATGAACCAATAACAAATGCTGGCTGGTCTATGGGGAAAAAGGAACTCTGCTCCACTTCTGATGAGGGTGTAGACTGGTACAACCTCTGTGGAAATCATTATGGAGATACCTTAAAAACTAGGATTGGAGATCCCATTTGACCCAGCTATTCCCCTGCTGGGTATCTTCCCAAAAGACTCAAAAGAATCAAACCACAGCAATATATGCACACCCATGTTTATAGCGGCACTGTTTGTAATAGCCAAAACTTGGAAAAAGCCCAGTTGCCCATCAACTGGAAACTGGATTTTTAAAAATGTGGCTTTTTTATAAAATGGAGTACTACTCAGCCATAAAGTTTGAGAAATTAGACGCATTTATAGCTAAATGGATGCACATTGAGGACATACTCTTAAGTGAAATAAATAGGACACACGTGTAAATACCAAATAGTTTGTCTGTTGTGAGAAACTGAAAGTGTGAATAAGGATCAAAATATATATAGATAATGTGAAATAGGGAGAAAACTTGCAAAGGGGAAGGGGTAGTTGGAGGGGTAGGGGAAAGCAAAGAAGGGAAAGGAATAAATATGATAAGGAAAAATGGAAATAGGGAGGTGTGGAGGGGTTGAAGGGAGGGCAAGACAATAGGGAAAATAAAAACCATGATATATCATGTAAAGGTACAAATTCCCAATGATGAATGTCAGTATATTGTATATCTAAAATGAACCAATAAAATTAATGAATTTAAAAAGATGAAAAATTGTCTCAGAACAAACCATTAAAAAGTGTTGAGAATGTATCTTAGTGGTATATTGCCCGTGGGATCAACCTCCAGTATAGGGGGGATGGATTGGGAGAAGAGAGATAGAATATAATTTTAGTAAAATTAAAAGTATATTACTGAAGGGCTGGGGATTTAGCTCAGCGGTTCAGTGGCCTGCCTTGAAAGTTCAATCCCCGGTACCAAAAAATAATAATAATAATAATAAATAAATAAATAAAAATAAAAGCATATTACTGTTACTAAAAGTTAAAAATTTTAAAGTTATAAGAAAAATGTAACTATATTAACATATTTGAAATTCCAGATGAAATTTAAATTCCTCATAAATATAAAACAAATTATTAAAGTTGTCCTGAGAAGTTAGGAAATCTAAGGGGATCGATTTTTATAGAATTTTTGAAATGTTAATGATTTCCATGATAAAGCATTGGTTTTATGGATAAATTTTTAGTGTTGGATGAATTTTACTATGCTGTCACACAGATAAGTAACATTTTTAAAAGAATACTTTTAAAAAGATGAAACAATTTATAATTTTATAATCAAATCACCCAGGAGCTAATATCACAATGTCATATAATTCAATCTAATTTATGAACATTGAAATCATAATCTTAAATATCAATAAGATCAATGCAGAAGTATACTAAATAATAGGGTATTATGATGAACTAGGTTTTAACCCTATTTACAAGGTTGGTTCAATACTGCTGTAATTGAATATACAACACTATACAAGAGAACAAGTCAATAGAGGCAGAAAAATTCACAGTAGTAATAAAAACAAGCCCATTAATAAACCCAACCAAATAATGCATAATTTTTTTTTCAGAATTTTGTAAGATATTAAATAATATAAAATTACCACATATAGAGAGATCTGTTCTATTGTTATTTCATGTAAGAAATCAATATTAGAGATGGTTAATTCTACCAAACATTATGTTCAAATTAGTCACATTCCAAATTCCATTGTTTTGGTTTTGGTTTTGCTTTTTTTTTGGTACCAGGGGTCAAACTAAGGACTTTGTGCTTGTGAGACAGGCACAGCACCACTGAGGTAATTCCCTGGCTCTTTCTAGTGGGTTTTGAAAAGAAAAACTGACCCACTGATTCTAACATTAATTTCAAAGAGTAAATGTGTAAGTGTAGTAAGGATTGTTTTAAAAATGAACAAAGGTGTACATAATTTCCTTAACCAGTTTTGAAAACATGAAACTAGTAACTAAATAAGTGTGCTAATGGTGCAGGACTTGACAGTGGAACTAAGGAATGTCTAGAAACAAAGCCATGTTCATATAGAAACTCAAATACCTCTTTTCCAATTATTAGTAACTTTCTATTTCTGGGGTTTATAGATCATATTCAAAGGGTGTGTAGAGAATTATTAATAGTTTTCCAAAGTAATAAAACTACCTCAAATAATTATTTATTACACTCAAATTATTGCTTTCATTATTGTAAACTTTCTTCCTTTCAGATATTGATTCTCATAGAAAAAAATAGAATATAGTCAACATTATTTTAAAGGAAGATCTGTTCAGTAGTACTTAATGTCTCACTGAGAACCAAGGTAATACCTGTAAAATAGGATGATTTTTATCATTTTAATGAATCTTTTTTCCTATCTTAGGGGCTGCAGTTATGGGTCCTCCTGGGCCCCTTGGATTTCCTGGAGAAAGAGGCCAGAAAGGTGATGCAGGTCCACCTGGTATTTCTATTCCGGGATCTCCTGGACTTGATGGGCAGCCTGGGCCTCCTGGTCTTCCAGGACCTCCTGGCCCACCAGGCCCTCACATCCCTCCTAGTAAGCCATAGTTTACTCTTGTAAAGTCCTGGTTTTGTTTATTTCATTTATAAGTGAATATACCTGAAGACGGGCATCATTATTTATGTCTCTGATTTCTAAGAGTTTCTGCTGCTGCTTCTACCTTTAGGTTTTGGTTATTCTTTAATGTTTAATCTTACTCTTCTAATAATGATTGTTGTCAACAATATTATACCCTCCTTTTTCTTCAGGTAGTTGTATATTTGCAGAAAAGAAACTAAAAATATGCTTTTTTTCTAGCCTGTCATGCTTTATTTTGGATATATTACAATGAGCTTTCTATCTTTTCTTTATCTAATTCCAGGTGATAAGACATGTGAACCAGGCCCTCCAGGTCCCCCAGGAGCACCAGGTGATAAAGGACTCCAAGGAGAACAAGGATTGAAAGGTTTGATCCCCAAATATACTTATTTGTTTTTGAAATCTTCAGCAAAATCCCCTGTATTTATCTTTCATTCTCCCTCAACCAGTCACTCCCATGTTTATATCGCAAGACCATCACCTGAGCAATAGTGCACCCTTCCATAGTCCTGATTTTACGAATCCCATTTTCTGATCACTTATTTTCTGCATTGTAGCTCATTACATCTAATAACCTGATTTGGACCTTACTTGAGCCCTACAGAGACTTACCATGATTGACTATCTCTTAACTTTTTGATATCCTTTCATTTCTCTTAGCCTAGCTTAAATTCCATGATCAATCATCACCATCAATCCTATTGCTAAGGCCCTGACTCCTTTGCTCTTCTCTCACTTTCTTATACTCACTTGGAACTAAAGCATAGCCTACGTAGTTTCGAATTCTACCTCTTCTAAGCCTGCACCTCCTCTTCTCTTGAAAACTTACAACTTCTCTTCCATTCTTATTTTAAGATGCTGATACTCGTTTCTCCTTCACTGACCAAATAATAACAAGAATGTTCAGAGTCTGCTGCCACCACATTTACTCACTTAGTTGTAATTGTGTGCCAACATTATTTTAAAGGAAGATCTTTTCAGTACTTAATGTCTCATTGAGAACCAAGGTAATATCTCTAAAATAAGTTCATTTTATTATTTTAATGAATGCCCTTTTCTTATCTTAGAAACTACAGTTATGGTTCCTCCTGGGCCCCCATCACTGGACTATTTCTGTTACAACTTGTATCTAAAGCCAGGCCTTTTATTTGTACAACAAATTCTCTTTCCTCTTCTTTCTCCAAGGGATTTGCTTCAAAAATTGTTGTCACACCCACATTACCAATTTCCCCCCTTCTACTGAATCATCCCCTGCAGCTTACAAATATGCTTTATCCACCCATCTAAAAAAGCACACACAGTATTTACTAGTTACTACTTCATCCTTTTGCTTCCCTTTTAGTAAAGCTCAGAAAAATCTTCTACTCAGTGTTACTAGTTTCCTCATTTTTATTTTTTATATTTTTATTTTTAACTAACATCTAAAAGTTATAGATATTAATGTGGTACCAGGTAATGTCTGACACATGTGTATATAATAGAATGTTAACTTAGGTTCAACACAGTTAATTCCTCCAAAGTTTATCATTCTTTTTGATTAAAACTTTTAAAGTTCTTTTTCCTAACCTTTTGAAATGTACAGTACATTGTTATTATCTCTAGTCACCATAATGTGAATCATGAATAATGCTGTATGAATTCTGTATGTGGTTTCTTTTGCTAGATATTTTACCTGGAGACATATCTATGTTTTCACTTGTAATTGTATTTTTCACTGCTCTTCATTATTTTTTTAAATTTTTTTCCTTATTGCGTTTATTGGTACATTATAGGTATACAGTACAGTTACATTCATTATTGGGATCTTGTACCTTTACATGACAGGTCTTGGTTATCATTTTTTCCCCTTGTCCCTGCCCTCCCTTCACCCCCTCCTCCCCTCCCCATTTACAAACACTTCATTTCCATTTTTTCATTTTCTCATATTTTTTTTTCTTTTCCCTTATTAACTTTCCCCTACCCTTCCCAATTTCCCTACACCTTTAGCCCCTTTCTTCCTATTTTACATTGTCAATAATATCATTAGGATCTTATGTACTATTATAGTTTATTCACACCAGAGAAACTATTCTGTATTTCCACATGTGTGACTTATTTATTTCACTTAGGAGTATATCCTCAATATGTATACATTTTCCTACAAATGAATCTAATTTCTTATTCTTTATGGCTGAGTAATATTCCATTTTATAGAAAAACCACATCTTCTGAAATGAACAGACATTTCTCAAAGAATTGAAAACAGCAAGTAAATATATGAAAAAATGTTCAGCATCACTTGTCACTCGAGAGATGCAGATGAAAACTACACTGAGATTCTACCTCACCCCACAAAGAATGGCTGCTATCAAGAAATCAAACAATAACAAATGCTGGCAGGTTTGTGAGGACAAAGGAACCCTTCTCCATTGTTGGTGGGAGTGCAGACTGGTGCAACCACTATGGAAATCAATATGGAGATACCTCAAAGAGCTGGGACTAGAGGTTCCATTTGACCCAGCCGTCCCTCTGCTGGGTATCTTTCCAAAAGAATTAAAAGAATCATATCACAGAGATATATGCACACCTATGTTTATAGTAGCACAGTTTGTAATAGCTAAAACTTGGAAACAGACCATTTGCCCATCAATTGGAATCTTCATTATTTATTGTACAAGTTTACCATTCTAATGTCACTGAACACAGAGCTGAAGCTATTATGAATAAATCTGTCACAAAAATTTTGATTTTGGTAGGACATAAGCTGTCATTTCTTCTGCGGATATACCTGGGAATAGAATTGATGGGTTATAGATTAGGTGTAGATTTTGTTTCATGGACAATACCAACTTATTTTCCAAAATGATTTTAGTATGCACTTCCCTGGTGACTCATTGATGATCAGCTTCTTTTTCATGCTTTTGTGTACTATTTCATAGGGTGCTTGTCTTCCCTCTGTTTTTAATTTGATTATTTGATATACATATCCATTTTCTCTCCTCTGCTATTTTGTAATTTGTTTCTATTTGTATTTTTTGAACTGTTGTTACTAATTAGTGAGAAGTTTATTAATGTTCTGTTCCATGGATAGTGCTGTTTATGCCCTGCTTTATAAATATTAATTTATCTCAAAAATCTGATGATATTCCTCTAAGTTTTCTTCTACATGCTCTCTCATTTTACCTTCCATATCTATTCTATTTTAATTTTGTGATATTGAATAGTTTACCTAAGGCCTTCACATTAAGCTACATCCACAGCCCTTTTTTTTTCATTATTTTTTGTGGAGACATGATCTTAAGACACTAAATTGTCCAGGCTGAATTCAAATTTGCTATCCTCCTGCCTTAGCCTTCAAGTGGCTGAAATTGTGTATACCATTCATCCACTTCAATTAATTTTTGTGTGTAGTTCAAGCAGGGATCAAAGTTCAGTTTCTCTCTATAGATATCCAGCTGACTTGATAGAATAGTATAAAAGACCATCAATATTCCAACGAGTTTTATTAGTACTTTTGTTGTAAATCATAAGACCATACATACATGAGCCTGTTTCTGACTTCTCTATTTTATTTTCTTTTGCTATTTGCCTCTCCTTGCATCAATACCAGACTGTCTTAATTGTGGCTTTATACAAACCTTGGACATTCTAGATTCTTTGTGTTTTGTAAGCATGTCAGAATTATCTGATCAGCTTTTAATTTTGAAGTGTCATAGGGTTCAGTCTTTATTCCTCTTCTCTAAACTCATTCATCCAGTCTCATGACTTAATATATTTGGTTTACCAATGTGTTCCAAATTTATGTTTCCTATTAAAATATAACTCTTCCTCTAATTTTGCAAATGAACTACTCACTCAACATTTCAAACTAGACATTGATCAAGTCATAGTTCTGATTTCTGCCACTTCCTCTCCCATAATTACTCCACTCACTTCTTCCCCTTTTTACTTGACAAGCAGGCTCCTGTACATTTCTAGTTGCTTAGGCTATAAATTTTGAGCTTTCCTTGATTGCTCTCTTCTTTTTATTCCATGTTATGAGCCATGAGAATATCCAAGTATGTCTAGAACGTAACCATTTCTGAACATCTTCATTGCTGTCACTTGGGGATAATCTGCCATCTCCTAGATCACTGCACCAGTAGCCTACTAAAGAACTGCCTACTTTCCTTCTTTGAACTCAGAACACAAACATAGCAGCCAGTTGTGCTATTTCTTTTTTGGGGAGGTGTTCTTGAGATTGAACTGAGGGCTTTTACACCAAGCTACATCCCAGTCTTTAAAAAAAATGTTTTTGTACCATGGATTGAACTCAGTACCTTGTGTTTGCAAGGCAAGCGTGGTGCCACTGAACAAAATCCCCACCCTTTTATTTTTATTCTTTGAGTCAGGGTCTCACTAAGTCACTAAATTGCCTACACTGGGCTTTAACTTGTTATCTTGTGCCTCCTGAGATTGGTGGGACTACAGGCTTAGGGCAATGCTCCCAGCTTCTGATTAAGTTCTTTTACTAAGTTTTCATTTTAGTTATAGTAAATGCTATAGACTATGAGTGATGGCATGTGTGCCACAGTGGGCTTTTTGTATCACTGAAAGATTCACCATCACTAGTGTATATACCATGACCTGTAACGTTTTTCATGACAACCCACTTCTTTAAAGCTGCTAACTCCGTGACCTGGCTACATGTCTTTATTTTGCTCCAGCAGTTTAGTCTGCTTGCAGTTCCTTGTATATGCCAAGTGTAGCTATTCTCTCCATCTAGAATTAGATGCTAGAAACTCCACACTCATCATGCACATGTTGTGTCCTTTAAACTTTTTGTCGTACGTCATGTTATCAATGAAGTCTATCCTGACCACCCATTTAAAATTGTAAACTTTAGGGCTGGGATGTAGCATAGTCGTAGCATTTGCCTTGCTCGCGCAAAGCCCTGAGTTCAATCTCTAGTACCACAAAAAAATGAATAAACAAATCATTAAATAAAATTGCAGCTCACCTTCCACTCACCCATCCTAGCATACCCATCTCACAGATCCTGCTCCATTTTCGCCCATAAATATAACATATTTCATTTTTTTGTTTTTTTTTTTTTTGGTACCAGGGATCGAACTCAGGACCTTGCACTTGCGAGGCAGGCAGTGGAAACACTGAGCTAAATCCCTGGCCCAACATATTTTAATATATACTGAATATATTAAAATGTTTAATACATAATTTAATACTTTATTGCTTTCATTACTTTCATCCATTTCTACCCATAGAAAGTGAGCTCTATGAAGGCAAGGATTTTTTTCTGTTTTATCAGTGTATCAAAATGACAGAATGGTTCTTCTGACACAGTAGATACTCAACACATGCTTATCAAACGAGATGATTATAGACGTAGACTTCTCTAGCTCCACTGTTATGTAGGAATGCTGCTGTCCCTTTACTGCTAACTTCTTGGAACCTAACTAAAGAACATTTAAGTACTTTTTTAGTAATGTTTGTTTTTTACTTTTACCAGGTGACAAAGGTGACACCTGTTTCAACTGTATTGGAACTGGTATTTCAGGGCCTCCAGGCCAACCTGGCTTGCCGGGTCTCCCTGGTCCTCCAGGTAAAGCATTCTGGCTAAGGGTAGTCTTTTAAAAATATCTCTTGGCTAGATTTTGGTGAGTTCATGATTTTAGAATGTTGCCAGCTTCTCGTTTTACAGCTAGTCAGTGATATCTATAAACAATTAAATATGAAATGCCTCTGTGCTATGAAATGAATTATACTCTTCTTTCTAATACTTGAAACTAGCAATGTTTTCTATTAAAGCATTTTGACAATATTCTAGGAACTACATCTTTCCTATTTTCCATATGGAAAGAAAACATATAGAGTCAGATTTCTTTCCTCCAGAAAACTGGGGGGGGTTCATAATGCCTGGCCCCTGCATATAGTTTTCATTATCATAGTTTCTAGTCATTTAGAATATATTACATGTATCATTACAGAAAGGATTTTCTATTTGGAGTTTGGCAACCTATTGCCATTCCTCTCTCTATATATAATATCACCCTTCTCATTTCCTAATCAAAGCCATATTGATTATCTCAGGTCCACAACTGCTTTATGTAATTATTTCATGGTATATCCCCATATTATTTTCTTTTGAGGTCACAGGTGTCCAAGTCAAAGCTGAGAACAGACACCAGATCTCTTACCGTCTAATGTGTCTGCCAAGAATACCAATTCACAGGGATCTTGAAAATACTTCCAGCAAGTCTTATAGCTGTCACTGGAAGTTAGTAATCTAGCTTTTTATCTCTATTCTAGCGGTTTTCAAACTTGGAAGAAGATCAGCATCATCTCGAGGACTTATTAAAGCCAAGGTTGCTGGGCCCCACCTGCAAAGTTTCTGATCCAATAGATCAGGAGTGGGCCATTCTTAGCCCAGCAGTCAGCACTTCTAAGTAGTAACGAAGTGCTGATGATGAAGCTCGTCCAGGGGTTCATTTTGAGAACCACTGCTTTAACAATGTTTTCTCTAGACTTTCAATGCCAAGGTTTTCTCACAAACCAAATTTTCAGAATTAACAGCCAAAATAAGGACTGTAAGGATATAGGAAAAATATATAACAAAATAAAGATTTACATTCTTCTTCTTTATCTTTCTTCATCTACCTTGGGCAATGGAATGTTTATAACAATTCAGGCATCACTGCAATATTTGTGAAAGGAAAGGGTACTTTGAACTTAAAAATATGTGAAGATACAAGATTGTATATAACATGAACTGTTTATTGTTTTAAGGATGATTTGCTCATTTTAAGAACACAAAACAGGAAAATAAAAAAATGTGACATGAATGGGATAGAATAGGGCTGTTTTATTTTAAAACTTGGTTTGCTGATTTTTATATGTTTTTTCAGAGTTTGAGTTCATAGCTCACACTGTGTGTGTGTGTGTGTGTTGTGTGTGTTCATGCTAGGGTCTCTTGGAGTCCCTGGACAGAAGGGTGAAAAAGGACAGGCTGGAGCAACTGGCCCAAAAGGATTACCAGTAAGTTTTTGGTATATACTATAAATCAAAAATAAGTAGGGCCAGGATTTAGCTCAGTGGCTCTACTGCTTGCCTTGCAAGCACAAGGTCCTGAGTTCAATCCTGGTATCAAAAATAAATAAATAAATAAATGAATGAAGTAGTAGATGTCCATGTATATTTCAGTGTTCACATATGGGTATATGTGTATAGGATTACCAGTAAGTTTTTGGTATATACTATAAATCAAAAATAAGTAGGGCCAGGATTTAGCTCAGTGGCTCTACTGCTTGCCTTGCAAGCACAAGGTCCTGAGTTCAATCCTGGTATCAAAAATAAATAAATAAATAAATGAATGAAGTAGTAGATGTCCATGTATATTTCAGTGTTCACATATGGGTATATGTGTATATATATATATATATATAATTTATATATAAATAATTTTGTTAAACTGTCATTTAATTTATAATTTATTTGATTCACTGACTCACATGCATGCTTCACATAATTCCTTATTTTATGCTCTAAATGTTACTGGGTGGATTAGTGGGTAAACTGGAGAAAACTGTTAGAAAAAATCCGATTTACTTTTTATCTTTCTTCTTTTTTCCTCCCACTCAGGGCATACCAGGAGCTCCAGGTGCTCCAGGACTTCCTGGAACTAAAGGAGAACCTGGTGACATCTTCACTTTTCCAGGAATGAAGGGTGAAAAAGGAGAGTTGGGTGCTCCTGGAGCTCCAGGGCTTTCTGGTTTACCTGGCACACCTGGACAGGATGGATTGCCAGGTCTTCCTGGTCCCAAAGGAGAGCCTGTGAGTTGGTTTGATATTCTTGGTGTTGTAATGTCATATTGTCACTTAGAAATGTTTTGTAGGTGCTGGGCATGTTATGCGAGCTGAGCATGCATGAGGTCCTGAGTTCAGTCTTCAGTGCCAAAAAGAAAACAATTTTCTAAAGCCAGGTGTGGTGGTGCACGCCTATAATCCCAGCACTCGGGAGGCTGAGGCAGGAGGATCGCTGTGAGTTCAAGACCGGCCTAGGCTACATAGTGAGTTCCAGGTCAGTCTCAACTACATAGTGAGACCCTGTCTCAATAAACCAAAAAAAAAAAGTTTTCTAAATTAAAATTATACTCCTAAGTGAAATAAATAAGTCCCACATGTGTAAATACCAAATAGTTTCCCTGGTGTGAATATTCTGCAACAATGCATAAGATTCTAATAAGATTACTGACATTTAGAAATGGGAGGAAAGGAGCTAAAGGTGTAGGGAAGGTGTGATACGTAGGGGAAGAACAAAAAGGGAAAAGAAAAAAATGTGAGAGAATGAAAAGATGAAAATAAAGTGTTTGTAGATGGGGAGGGGAGGAGGGGGTGAAGGGAGGGCAGAGGTAAGGGGAAAAAA